TCCTTCATCATTCTCATCCCCCGCTTCCTACCTCTGGCAGCCTTTCGGGACGATCTTCAAGCTTCCTGGAAGGCCCCCCGACGAGGAGAGACTGTTGGAGATCTGCCCGAGGCCCAAATTCCCCCAGGAACTTCCACAACAGCTTCCGAACATATTCCGCCAGCGTCCAGTTGCAGCCAAAAGTTCATGCAAACACGAACCATGGCAGTGAAAGGGGTATGACTACCCAGCAACAGCTCAATCAGTTTCCGTCCATCCGCCCCCCAGTCCAGCTCCTCCCCCTTGCCCGTGTCTCCTCCTTCTCCTTCCCCTCCTTTTCTCCTCTTCCTACTCCCCGTCCTCGCCGCCCGAGGACGTGGCGGCCCCGGCAACTCTACGGGGGCTTCCCGCAGCCGGGCCGTCCCCAGGCGTCCCCGCAGTCCCGCGCGGGCCTCCTGTTGGAAGCCGGCCCGAGGTGCCTGGCTCGGGCAGAGGCGGGCGGCGCCACCGACACACATGCTGGCCCTGTTGCCGCGTGCCCGCGCCTTCGAACGAACGTCTGAGGTGGGAGGATGTACACAGGGAGGGCAGCAATGAGCAGGAGAGAGCCAGAAGGCGGAGGGGACTGGCGCGCGGCCGCGGGGAATCCTCCTCCTCCTCCTCCTCCTCCTCCTCCTCCTCCTCCTCCTCCTCCTCCTCCCGTCCTCCTCCTCCTCCTCCTCCTCCTCCTCCTCCTCCTCCTCCTCCTCCTCCTCCTCCTCCTCCTCCTCCTCCTCCTCCTCCTCCCTCCCTCCTCCTCCTCCTCCTCCTCCTCCTCCTCCTCCTCCTCCTCCTCCTCCTCTGCGTACCCCTCGCGCCCACGGGGCCCACCTGATCTGCCCCTCGTAGCAGCACCCGTCGGGCCACGCGAGCCGGCCGTGGCCGTCGCGAGCGCCGTCTCGCCACTCGCCCGCGTACTCGATGCCGTTGGGCCAGGTGGCTGTCGGGGGGTGGAGGCGGGGCGAGGCGCCACGCCGCGTGCTCACTGCTGCTGCCTCCTGCTCCTGCTCCTGCTCCTGCTCCTGCTCCTCCTCCTCCTCCTCCTCCTCCTCCTCCTCCTCCTCCTCCTCCTCCATCCTCCTCCTCCTCTTCCTCCTCCTCCTCCTCCTCCTCTTCCTCCTCCTCCCCTCCTCCGCCTCCTCTTCCTCCCCCATCTTTCCTCTCTAGGTCGCAAAGATTCGCGCAGCGCACCCCGCCATGCGCGGCGCGCGGCTATCTTCTCCTCCCCCTTCTCCTCCTCCTCCTCCTCCTCCTCCTCCTCCTCCTCCTCCTCCTGCTCGAGCTGGTTATGTGGTTCTGGCAGGGTGGCCCTGGTGGGATCTTGTTGGGGATTAGGTGCGATCCTGGTGGGGGATCCTGGTGGGGTCCTGGTTGGGTCAAAGAGGGGTCCTGGCGGGGTCACGGGCTCCTGGCAGCGTGCTGGAGGTGCGCTGCTGAAGTCGTGGTGGGATCCTAATGGGACTAGGATCTAAACGATCTCCTGGTGCGATCCTGATGGGTGCTGGCGGAATCGTGGTGGCACTCTGGTGGGATCGCAATGAGACCATGGGGGGGTCCTGGTGGGATCATACGTAGTTCGGCACTATCGAGTCCTGGCGGGATCGTTTTGCTTTTGTAAAAAAACGGGCGCAGCCCTTCGCGAAGTGGTCTCAAGTGAACTGACAACTGAATCACCAAGGCCGTTAGATGGTAGTTTAATCCCTAGGGGAAGAATCTGTTGCTGGCAACTATAGGTAATGTTGCTAGCGGTTGCGCCGTGGGGTGAGGATCGATTATTGGTAATCTTGCGCCAGGGGGTGAAGACAGTCAGCTGGCAATTAAAACACGCTGGGGGCGAGGATATGTTGCTTGACGTTGGAGGCCACGCGGTGAGGACATGCTGCTGGCAATTTTAGGCCACTGGGTAGATGTGCCGGACTTTCTAGGCCACGGGGTGGTGATATGTTGCTGGCAGCCTCAGGCCATGAAGATGTGCCCATTTTGCTGGCTTTGTTCAGTTTCAGGCCATGAGTGGAGATCCTTTTGCTTGCAACTATGAGCCATCGGGTGACGATACTTCGCTGGCAGGGAACGCTGGCCCAATGTCACCCTGCGCTTGAGCTCAGAGTTTTTGACCCCTCGTTGTGCTCAACGCGTGCACACAATCGCGGCGAGTTTACAGATTTCGCTCCTCGACGATTCGACCCAACCGAAGGCCATGCATTCAGCGCAGCGCTGCGCCCGTGTATATGCTCGCCCCTTGGCGTGGGGCTGGTCGGGGGCCAAAGCGTGAGCTGTCTGGTGAGTGGGCCCTCCTCCTCCTCCTCCTCCTCCTCATGGCCCCTCTCTTCTCTTCCATTCCCTTCCCTTCTCTTCTTTTCTCTTCTTTCCTCTTCTCTTCTCTTCTCTTCTCTTCTCTTCTCTTCTCTTCTCTTCTCTTCCCTCCTCTCTTCCCTCCCCCCTTCATCGCACCCAGGGGGGCGCGACGAAGACAGGAGAGGGGGAGGAGGACCAAACAACAAACTCTGGACACCCTGGATCCTAAAATGTTGGCATCTCGTTGTTACCTGTCACTTCCGCGGCGTTCCGCCGAACTTGCGCCGGCAGACCCGCCTCCGTTTAACTTCCGCCTGCTTCTGCTGAAGGCGAGATCCGACGAAACCGAGGCCCTTACTGGAGCGCGCCAAACGCTTCTGGTCTGTGCGTAGCTCGCGCATCGGCAGCGCGCTGGTACCCTGCTGGGCGCAGGAGCCCCACCAAACGCAGGGACGTGAATGCGGCTGCGCTGGGAGGCTGAGCGCGCGGAACGACGCGAGGCAAAAGGCGCGTGAACCAGGAATTGAAACATTGAAACCGAAGAGCTGGGGAGAGGATGGGGTCGGACCGAAGGCGGGGGAGCCAAGACGGGACAAGACGGCCCCAAGACGGCCCAAATCGGCCCCAAGATGGCCCCAATGGGGGCCCGTGAGGTCCCCGAGACGGCCCAACAGGCCCCAAGAGGACCCCCAAGAACGCCTCCAGAGGCCGAAATCATCGATGTCCCGTTGGTTCTTGCTTGACTTTGAGGTTCTCTCCCTTTGTCGGCTCTCAGAATAAGAAGCCGAACTCTATACACCGACGCCTTTGTCTGGCCTCGAACTGAATCTCGCACAGGAAAGCGGATCCTGGTGTATACGGGATCCTGGTGCATACATTCTTCGTCGTTTCCCTAGAAACACGGGGAAACAAGCATACACCACACCACCCCGACGTCGCCCCCGACCCTCACCAAAAAAGTCCTGGGACTGAGAACCCGCTTGCCACTGGTAATGTTCCCCCCCCCCCCAACGCAACACCGCAAGGCTGCGCAACAGCGTGCAACGGAGCAGCGAAAGGAAGCCGTGAACCCGCACGTGCCCGCGTGCAGAGTGTTTCAGTGGGCCCTGAAACACTAACAAAAAAGAAGCACGACGTATCGATTGCCACTGGTGCAGGGCAGTTTTTAATACATAGAATTGTTAAACATATACGATGTTTAGTGCATGCTTATTTTATGAATAAATGTATGTATGAACTCACCTTTGTTTTTAGTACTCAATCCCTGCATTTTTAATACATGATCCGCACGCGGAGCATGTATTGAAAACGGCACTGTAGTGCATCTGCCCCAGTTTCCGACGGGAGGCCAGGCGACGCGGCTCACGTGGCCGCTTCTTCCTCGGCGCCCCGCGGCGCCACTGGGGGCGCCCCACGGCGGGGGCCCCCCGGCAGCCCTGCGCGCGGCAGACTTCGCAACCGGGCCCCTCTCTGTCCAGCCCTCCGGCTGGCCCACCGAGGGGGCCCAGCGACAACGGGCCATCGCTCGGACGTCCATTCCCCGTGTGTTTTGTTCGCTTTCGTGCGTGGCTTTCTCGCGGGATGGTCCAGGATGCTCCTCCGTGATCCCCGCCGAGAAGGAGTGCACACGTCCGAGCGGTACCAGGACAGGGGGGTGGTGCGGTAGATCTGGTGCAATAGATTTGTGGGGTTGCACTCGATTTGGGGCGTGCAATACATTCCGGAGCGCAGATGAATTGCTGGAGTTTCGCGTGCAACACATCAGTTGCAATCCAATGCAATACAAGTCTCGAGCGCAATACCTTTGCAATACAATTGCCGCAAATCTATTGCACCACCCCCTTTCAACTGGACCACCCTTTGGGTCAACCAGAATCCCCCTTGTTCGTCCGACCCGAGAAGGGTCGGGGAGACGTGAGACTTGGGTACGGGGGTCTCGGGTTGGCCTGACGGAGCCGTCATAGAAATGACGAGGCCCACTCTGAAATTTGACGCGAGCTCCCGCTGCAAACATCCCAAGATAAGTGGACCGTCAAAATCCAGGACGCGCTCGTCAAAACGTCGGCCAACCCGAGCTCTGGCTTACTCGAGTCTTACGTTTCCCCGAAAGATTGTCGACGGGGAACTTCTCGCTCCGTCCGGGGTCACGGGGTCCCGGGGCTCTCACAGATCGACCTAGCCTACAGAATCCACCATCAGAAATGGGCCGGGAGCGCTGGCCGTGATTACACTGCGACCTTGGTTGTCTCCATCCACGAGCTCCAGTGTCTGGGGAGGAGGGAGACCCACGAAGGCAGCGGGTAGCTACAAAGCACGTCCGCATTATCAGGCGCGTTCCGGCTGCTTGTCGCTGTCTGGGACTACCTCCACCTGCTCCGCCGAAACTCGCCTGAGAAAGATGTCGACGCTCGTCCCATACCCAGGCAAAGACACCAAGTCCAACGTTCCCCCGAGATAACGGGCATACAGTCGCGACAGCGGCAAGCCAACGCCATAGCCCGCGAGTTCGGTTGCTTCCCCTTCAGCATCAGGGTCGATGCCAGTTGTCGAATAGGAGTACGACCAAGCCCTAGATCCGATGTCAAATGGGATGCCACCAGCTCGGTCGCTAATTCGGATGGCAACGTGCTTATCATCAGCACAAACGATGATGCTGGTGGGGCGTTGGGACAGCTCAGCGGTGGATTTTACAATCTCTGCAGTGGCGCGGAAACTGTTCTTTTAGAAAAAGGAAAAACGCCGTAAACATAAACCTTTGGCGCTCCGCGCGGATTTCTTGGATCCGCGCTGGACCCCCCTCCCTGGCGCGCGGAGCGCGCCAGGGGCGGCGCCAGAGGCGCCGCCGCGGGGGGGGCCCAGCGCGGGTCCAAGAAATCCGCGCGGAGCGCCAAAAGTTCATGCTTATGGCGTTTTTTTCTTTTTCGATCTTGAGGATCTCCATAACGATGACTTTGAGAAACCCCGGCACGAACGAGAATCGAGGGCTGCCGCCTCTGTCGTCACCCGCCGCCGAGTGCACCTCGAGCGTGTAGACGGGGCGTCGGCCGGTCAGAGATTTGCAGATCGCCTGGATCTCGGTCGCAGCATCGCTGCAGACTCGAGCAGGCTCACAGTCGGGGTCGATGATCCCAGTGCTGCGGCGATGGGTGCCGGCTCCCGTGCTGCTGCACTGGGCCTCCCAGCAGGCCAGATACTGGGCCATCAGCATCTGGGTGCCGATGTAGCTCAGGAAGAAATCATCCAGCCACTTGTCTGTGAAGTCGCTTCCGTACTTGTCCCCGCGCAGCAGGTTCAAGCGCCGCATGGCACGGGTGAGGTCTTGAGGAACGTCCTGGAGAGAGTCCATCATGGACCGCACGACCTCGGAGAACGCGTCCAGAGTCGGCACCCGTCTCACCAGGCGAAGTGCGCGAAAGCCGTCGAGGTGCTGAGCTCTCACTGCCCTGAGCTCCTCGATCTCCTCCCACCCCTCCACGTCCTCAGAGGCCTCCCAGATGGGGCCTGAGCAGGCGGGGTCGGAGGGTCGCGCCGCATCGTCGTCGGCGATGCATCGGCGCCATCGGCGTGGAGAACATCGTGCTCCACATCGAGCCGCATCGCCGATGCATCGCGATGCATCGGCGATGCGGCGCGACCCTCCGACCCCAGCTGCTCCGAGCCCGTCTGGGAGGCCCTGGAGTCCTGGATCCACCGGATCCTTTCGGCGGACCGCACGAGCACCTCCTCGTGCAGAAACTTGGCCAGCCTGGCAGGCTCGAGCATGTCGAGGAAGTCCTGCATGCTGAGCGGGTGCGGGAGCATGGGCACGAACCTGGCGACCTCTCGGGACCCCCCAAACAAGCCATAAAAGGGCGCCTTTTGCCCAGACCCTTCGGAACCCTCCAAGACAGCTCAAATCAGACCCACCCAAAAAAATCAGATCTCCCACACGTTATTCCGGAATGGGGTGTAACTTCGCGAATCTGAAAGGGCCCAGGGACACACAAACAAATAGAGACAAATCCTCCGATCCCCAATCTTTTCGCACAGCTTCTAGCTGTCCGTCTCCGCCTCCACTTCCCATATTCTTGGCTCTGATAGAAGAGGCCTGGGAATCGAGGATTAGCTGCGCCAGTTTTTTCTTTTGTTATATATATATATATATATATATAAATAAAAACACTCCTGAAGAGATTTGAGGTCGCCTAACTTTATGTCGGGCGTGTCTCCGTACAGGGGGATTTTCGACGAAAAAAAACCCAAACAATACCCCAAACAGGCTAAAAAATACTCCCCAAACAGTCCCCAGACTATGTTTGTACAATTTTTGGGGTATTTTTCTTGTTTTTCGTCGAGAATCCCCCTGTAGGGGGACAGGCCCGACTTAAGCCCAACTTCGCGCATCGCGGCGCCGAGATGCGCGACGCGCGGTCGTCTTCGCGCCCTCGCGCCCTCGCGCCGCCGACAGAAGAGGCCTGGGAATCGACGATTGGTTGTGCCAGTGTTAAAAAAAAAAATCACTCCTGAAGAGATCCTCGGTCGCCCAACTTCGCGCATCGCGGCACCGAGATGCGCGACGCGCGGTCGTCTTCTCGCGCCCTCGCGCCCTCGCGCCGCCGCCCCGCAGCAGTACGGCGGCCCTGGCCGGAAGCGCAGCGCGCGGGGCGCGCGCCCGTCTTCGCACCCCCAGGGGGGTGACCCAGAATGCCTCTCTCCTCCGGACTCGCGCGAACAGTCGAACGCTTCATTGTCCTGCTTCCTCGTCGCGGAGCGCTCCGCTCTCCTGCCACGCTCCGCCAGCTCTCCTGCAGAGTCGCCGCTCGCGCGCTCTTCTGCCCCCACGCGTGCCTCTGGATGCTTGGCTGGATGGTGGTGGTGGTAGACTTGCGCGGGCTCCTTGGGTCGGCGCTGCACCAACCCCTCCCCGCAGCCCCCCTTCCCCGGCGCGCCCCGCGCGCCAGGGGCTGGCGCGCCAGGGGTCCGCCCGGGGAAGGAGGGAGGGAGGGTCCGGCGCCGAAGCAAGAAGCCCGCGCGGACCTCCGACAGTGGATGTCTGTGCGCTGCTTCATTGTGATGATGATGATGCTGATGATGATCATCATCATCAGCAGCATCATCAGCATCATCAACATCAGCATCAGCATCAGAATCAGCATCAGCATCAGCATCATCACCATCACCATCACCATCACCATCATCATCATCATCATCATCATCATCATCATCATCATCATCATCATCATCATAATCATAATCATCATCATCATCATCATCATCACCATCATCATCAGCATCAGCATCAGCATCAGCATCAGCATCAGCATCAGCATCAGCATCATCATCATCATCAACATCATCAGCATCAGCATCAGCATCAGGCTCTCGGGGCCTCGTGCTGGATGTAGTCCTGGCGGCTCGCCTCGTCGACGAGGTCCCCGGGGCCCTGCATGCTCCCGCGCTCCCACGGCCGCCGCTTGCGCGGGCGCCTGCGCCCCCCGTCGTCTGGCGGGTCCTGGGGGCGGGAGCGCCCTCGAGGCCACGCTGATGTAAAGGGGCCCCGGGACACACAAATAGGTACACACAAATGCAAATATTCCCAACATTTTTCTATATTTTTTGGATCTTCGTCTTCCCGCCCACTTCCCATATTTTCCTGGGAATCGACGATGAATTGTGTCTGTGTGTTTTTTTCCCTCCTGATGCTGGGCACTCCGGTGGGCTCTTTCCTGCCGCTCGCCCGCGCCCTCCCGCGCGGCAGTGGCGCCCTCTCGCCGCCTTCCCGACAGACTCCTGCGCGCTGCCGGAGCCCCGTGCCCGACGGGGTGGCGCGGAGGCCCCTGCGACTCCCTTCGGCTGTGCGAGACGGGCACTCCCTTCTACAGTCGGGGCGTTGACCTAAGGAACGATAAATAAGGAACGAGGCCCCTTTTTCCCATCTAGTAAACTCCGATTTTCCATGGAAAACCTCAGGAAAACCCAAGGAGCACTGTAAAGCAGCTAAGGAACACGGAGCCCCTCCCCAACAAAAAGGGTTCCTTCTTCAGGGCCCCGACTGTAGTGGCTGGACGGCGGCGGGACAGCTTGACACCCCGAGGGGGGCTGAGCGTTCGAAAGAGGCCGCCCCGAACCCGCGCAGGATGACGCCGACGACGATGACGACGACGACCACCACCACCGCCACCACCACCACCACCACCACCACCACCACCACCACCACCACCACCACCACCACCACCACCACCACCACCACCACCACCACGTGCTGCAAACGTGTTCCACTGAGTGTGGACTAGTAGCTTCTAGTCGCAGGCGTCAAATCGCAACCGAAGCGGCTGGTAAAACCTGGCACCGCAAAGGCTAGTCTGGAGAACTGGGCTACGGCTGGACCTAGGACAGAATAACGTCCTTCACAAGCACGCGACCCTCCGCCGCTCCAACCGAAGAACGCTCGAGGGTACCCTCCCCCCGGATGCTCCACAACGTCCCACAGACACGAAGAACATTCGGGTACCCTCCCCGAACCGCCCTCGATCTTGTACCTCGGTCCGACCGTACGAGTCCGACTCCGAGAACAACCCTGGACCAAACACTGTTGGGCGTCCCAGCTCTACTCCCGCTGCCTTCCGACGACCTGCCGCCTGCGGGCCGCCCTCGCCTCGCGTCCGCCGGCCTGCGCCGAGGACGCGAGGTCAAGCACCAGAGGCCTCCCAGACGAGGCCCGAGCAGGTGGGGTCGGAGGGCTGCACCGCCTCGGCACCGCACCGGCAACGTCGGCGATGCATCGGCGACGTCGGCATGGAGAAACTCGGGCTCCACATCGAGCCGAGTCGACGATGCGTCGGCGATGCGGCACGATCCTCCGACCCCATCTGCTCCGACCCCATCTGGGAGGCCTGGGGATAGGGCGACGAAATCCATACATATCCACTGTTCCCTGGTCAGGCCCATCCTGAACACAGCAGCGGTGTATACGCCACGCCCTCCTGGCTTGGCTTGGCCAGGAGGGCGTACAAAGAGCTCCTGGGCTCAGGATGGGCCTGGCCAGGGAGCAGTGGATATATGCATAGATTTCGTCGCCCGATAGGACCTCTCGATTTTGGTCGCCCGAAATGGGTACGGAAAAGATGGGTACAATGCCCAACAAAACATGTTGTCCCGAGCCAACAGCGGCCGCTGTTGGGCAGGCGGCCTTCTGCCTCACATGGACACAGGCCGCGGCGGCGCGGACGGCGAGTCCTGTTCAGAATGAACACTGGCCATCGCTCGGACGTCCATTCCCTGTGCTTTTTTCGGTTTCGTGCGTAGTTTTTTCGTCAAATGATCAAGGATGCTCCTCGATGGTCGTCGCCGAAGGAAAAATGCACACGTCCGAGCGATGCCAAGGAACAGGAACTGCTGTTGGGCATCGTGCCCATTCTTTCTGTACCCATCGATCTCTCGAGGGCGCCGTCCAAGGCGTACCTTCTCCTGCACATCCACTCCGGCACCGCCTCTTCCTCGGGCCCCGCCCGCCCCGGCCGCCCGAGGCCCCGCCCTCCCGTGCCCTGCCTCCCGAATTCAAGCTGTGCGTAGCCCGCCCAGCTTCTGGCGGAAGAGGTTCGCTCTCGCCCCGCAGACCAGATCAAAAACAAAAAGATCTCTCAAAGGCGAGGCCCTTCCTGGACGGCGAGGCCCTTCCTGGAGCGCCACCGATCGGGGGCGAGGCCCTTCCTGGAGGCGAGATCTCTCTGTACCCACCGATCTCTCCCCTGACCTTCCAGAGTGCTAAACCATAGCACTCCAGACCTACAGATCTGCCCTGGACTGTCTCAGACCTCGACAGGAGCTAGGACGTCGACGCCCTGGTGCTGTCTTTTAGCCCTCCTGGAAGGTCAGGGTCGAGGGCGAGGCCCCCCCTGCAGCGCCACCCCGTGTGCAGGAGGTTAAGGAGGAGGAGGAGGTTAAGGAGGAGGAGGAGGTTAAGGAGGATGAGGAGGTTAAGGAGTAGGAGGAGGAGGAGGAGGAGGAGGAGGAGGAGGAGGAGGAGGAGGAGGAGGAAGAGGAGGAAGCAGGAGGAGGAGAAGGAGGAGGAGGAGGAGGAGGCGAAGGGGGGCGGCCGCAGGGCTCCCGCACCCCCCCCCTGAAGGGGGGGGCAGGCCGCCGGCCGGCGTCCTGGAGGCCGCCGGCGCCGAGGGGGGGCGCCGGCGGGCCTCCGGCGGAGGCGGCGCAGGCCCGCGCCGGGGCGCCCGGGCCCGCGGGGCGCCCGGGGCCTCCGCGGCGGCGTGCGTCGCTCGTTGGGGTCGTCGGTCGCGCGCGGCTCGTCGTCTGGCCGTCGCTCGGGCGCCCGCTTCCCGTGCGTCTGTTCGGTCTCGTGCGTTTTTTTTTTTTTTTCTTTTGCTCGGTGGTCCAGGATGGTCCTCGACGGTGCTCGCCGAGAGAAAACATGCACACGTCCGAGCGATGCCCAGTGGTTCTGTGAGGCAGCCTGGCGAGGGACTCCATCGTGCGCCCAAGGAGAGACGAAGCCGACACCACGGAAAAAACCCGCGGCAAGCCCGCGGCAAGCCCTACGCCCGAGGCGGTCGGTCGTCGCTCGTCGCTCGTCGGTCGTCGTCGCGCGTGGCTCGTCGTCTTGCCATCGCTCGGGCGTCCATTTCCTGTGCGTTTGTCGGTCTCGTGCGTTTTTTTTTTTTTTTTTTTGCTCGGTGGTCCAGGATGGTCCTCGACGGTGCTCGCCGAGAGAACATGCACACGTCCGAGCGATGCCCATTCGTTTCGTGAAGCAGCCTGGCGAGGGACCCAATCGTGCGCCCAAGTAGATACGAAGCCGACACCACGGCAAAAACCCGCGGCAAGCCCGCGGCAAGCCCTATGCGCCAGAGGCGGCGCTTGCCACGGGTGGCCGGGGCGGCCTCCCCAGGACGCAGGACCGCGCGTGGGAGCAAGCGGAGCGGCGACTGATGCAGTTGTCAGTGCCGCAGCTGTGAGTGTCGTCTTCGGTGAAGCTCCCTATGGGTCCACGAAGCGCTGTATTGGGTGGGGGAAACGCATGCGGCCGCGGCCAGACGCAGGCTGCCGCGGCCACTGGGGCCCTCGGTGAAGCTCGGGTCCACGAAGCGCTGTACTGGGTGGCGCGGACGCATGCCAACGTCGCCTCTGTGGCCTTCGGTGGAGCTCCCTGTTGGGCCACGAAGCGCTGTCCCTGGCGGCGCGGACGCATGCCAACATCGCCTCCGGGGCCTTCGGTGGAGCTCCCTATGGAGGCACGAAGCGCTGTACTGGGTGGCGCGGACGCATGCCAACGTCGCCTCCGGGGCCTTCGGTGGAGCGCTCTATGGAGGCACGAAGCGCTGTACTGGGTGGCGCGGAGGCATGCCAACGTCGCGTCCGGGGCCTTCGGTGGAGCTCTCTATGGGGGGCACGAAGTGCTGTACTGGGTGGTGCGGACGCATGCAAACGTCGCCTGTGGGGCCTGCGGTGGAGCTCCCTATGGGGTAACGAAGCGCTGTACTGGGTGGCGCGGTTGCATGCCAACGCTCTTTCTGGGGCCTTCGGTGGAGCTCCCTAGCGCGTGAGGGGTGTGCCGAAATGGTTAACACGCGGAGGGCAGAGGCAAGGATGGGGTGAGGACGAGGAGGAGGGGGAGGAAGGAGAACGCGGGGCCCTGCCTCTTCAAGTCGAGCACCCAACACCACAGGATCTTTGATAATAAACAGCGACAGCCAGGATGAGCAAAATCATCAGCCTGACGCGGAAGAGGTCGGCAACCACAGCTTATACAGATGTGCCGATGACCGTCCTTGGCAGTCGACCGTCATTGGTCGTGGACCGTCGTTCCTCGCTTGTCGTCGTTTTGGGGAAGCCACAAGGTACCGATACCGCCAATCCCCGGATCTCTGCTGGGGTGCGTTCTGACCAGGATGTCGAGGCGAATCCAGCGGTGGCGACGAGGGCCTCCCAGGAGGCCCGAAACGGGGAAACCGGGCGAAGGGTAGAGGCATGGGTACACGTCGGTCGGAAGAAGTAGGTCGAAACATGCAGTAGGAAGGCGGATATGGTGGATTGGGTCCAGGTCCTCCCAGAGAAGAACAAAACACACAGCAAGAGCATGCCGATTCTTGAAGTAGGCAGGCGCTTGAAGCAGATTGGGATCTGGGAATCCCAAAATACCCCCTTCCAACGACCTGCATATACTCCAGATTTCGTAATAAAGGGAGGGGGGTCTCATTTCGGGGGGGGTCTCTTCCAGGCTATCTTGGAGGGCCTGCAGGGGTCTGGGGACGATGTTTTGGAGGGTTCTCCCACGGGGGAGGTCTGAAATGGCTTGTCTTGGAGGGTCCAGGCCCCCTCCCTTTTATCACGAAATCTGGAGCACCTTCTCCCCCTCTGTCGCTCGGTGCTGCCGCGGCGCGGCCTCCGCGCAGGGCCGGGGGGCGCTCCGCGAGGGCGGCGGCTCCCGCGCGGGAGCCC